ATCCATGCCAATCCTCCTCTTTTTGCTGAGGAAGACTGGCCCTGGGCTAACATCCATGCCCATCTTCCTCCACTTTATATGGGACGCCGCCACAGCATGCCCTGGCAAGCAGGATCGGTGCGCACCCGGGATCCGAACCTGGGCCACCAGCAGGCGAGAGCACGCACGTAACCGCTATGCCACGGGGCCGGCCCCCTCCAGCACAACTTCTGATTTCCTTTTCTGTTCAAATTTTAAATACTGTTCGTGTGCTTCCCAGTCCTAACGACCACTGCTCTGCCCCGCCGTGGTGATCTTCGGGTTGCCTCCTACCTGGCATCGTCTGCTTCAGAGTCATCACATGGCAGCCCCTCCCTGCTGGTCTCCCTGTGGTCTTTGCTGCTCCCTCCAAAATCACCACCTCCCCAGCCCTCTCACACGCCCTCCAGCCACGAGGCCCAGGACTCTGTCTATGTGAGTCGTGCCTTTTTCCTCCAAGTCTTTCTTCGTGCTTTTGCCCTTCAGGGGAAACCATTACTCAAAAGGTCTTTTGTCTCATTTATTTTACGCTTTATTGCTTTCTTTAAAATATTTGGCATTTTGTCATACTAAGCCACTCTTTTCTTTTAATTGCCTACATTTAAATACTTTGCCATTAAAAAACAGAGGGATTGTTATTACTGATATGATACTGATTTGCTCGCTAATTGTTTTTTAAGTTTTGACTCATTTCCCCACAGACTCTGGCCTCCAGGGAATCTCAAGGGCCTGATCTTGTGTTTATTTAACACTGCACAGCACCTGCAAGAAGTGGTCCTAACACATGTCAGAGCTGCTTATCTGTTGAGCTGTGTCTTCTCTCTGATTCTGATGGCTTCTCCCTCTTCTACGGTGGAAATCATCCTACCTCCATCATGCTGCCTACTTTGAAGTTCTCTTTGGTAGAAGATGACACCGTCTCTTAGGAAAGATGGCATCCTGGGGCCAGTTAGGAACCACTGCAGTAGCTCATGAGAGAAGAGGATGATAAAGACCTGGACCAGGGTGGTGGTGATGGAGATGGGAGAAGTGATCAGATTCAGATTCAAAGGAAGGCCTGCAGGCTCTGGTTATGGTTTCGACGTAGGGTAAGAGGTACTGACCAAGTGCTCTAGGGCCTGAGTAACTGGGTGTATCATGGATTCACTGAGACAGAGAACCTTGAGAGAAGAGCAGATTGGGGGCGATATCCAAAGTTCATTTTTTAAAGGTTATGTTTGAGAGGCCAGTTGAGTGCCAAGTGGGCAGGTAGACATAAGACTGTGGAAATGGCAGCAAAGACCTGGGCTGGAGATAAAGATTTGGGAGTCTCAGCACAGAGCACACCGGTTGTACTTAGGGCCATGGGGCTGCATGGGTCACCCCAGGGAGGAAAGATAGAGAGGAGGCCAGAGCACAGGAGGTCTCTGATGCTTATAGGTGAGGAGGTGAAGCAAACTCAATACAGATACCTGAGAAGGAGCATCCAGTGAGTTAGGAGGAAGGAGAGAGTACCCTCTCTTAGAGGGCAAGTGAAGAAAGAGTTTTGAGGAGGACAGAGTTAGTTTGTTCATATTACCAACAGATGGGGCCTATTGGAGCACCTCCCCCTCTACGTTTACTTACCTGCCTCCCCCGTAGATGGGAAGCATCTCTGTCATTCATCCTTGCATTGCTGGTACCAAGGACAGTCTCTAGGCCATGTTAAGTGCTCAGTAAATAACTGGTGGGTGGATGGATAGATGGACGAACAGACAGATGGACGTCTTCCGTGTGGGTGTACCTATGTTCCGTTACAAGTGGTATACATATTCCTGTCATTTTCAGTGATGTTTATCACCATGCTCATAATCTCAACTCCCGCATGGCAGAGTGGATATCCTCCTCTTTCTTTCTGTAGCTCCCCCTAGCACCTTGGAGGGTTCTGAGCACGCTGTGACCTCCACGATGCTGTGATGTTGCCTGATTCGTGCTTTTCTTGTTTGTTTGCTTTTTCCTCTGAAATGAACAGCTTTACATTCAGCCCATGATGGGGCCTGGCCTGAATTATGAATGTTACCGATTCGGCATTTCACCTTCCACGAATGCGCTGGTGATTGGTGCTACCGTGATGGAGGGCTTCTATGTGGTCTTTGACAGAGCTCGGAAGAGGGTGGGCTTTGCGGCAAGCCCCTGTGCAGGTAAGCAGTTCTTCCTAGGACAGGGAGCCCTAACTAGAGTACTCTGTGTCAATTAACTAACTTGGAAGCAATTCTTGATAACAAGTCAGTTGCTGTTGAATTGTTTCTCTCCTGCCCATCATCGGTGATCAAAATCCTCTCAATAAAGTGTACTGTGGGATTGCTAAGAGCAATAAGTGAGATAATCCATGTAAACCTTTCAGTCCAGTGCTTGGCACATGGCAATGCTCAGTAAATGTGGGTCATTACAGTTCTCTCCCATATTAAACTTAAAATGGCTTCTTGTACTGGGAATAAAAAAACTCTGTGGGGCCTTAGGGATGAATTATAATTTTTTACAGTGAAAGCAAAAAGAATATAGAAGACAATTCATAGATAAGATGTGTGTATTTTTTTTCCTTAAAGAAATCCTCGTCATGAAATAAGAAGTAAACACCTGTCATTGCTATTTCTCGAAATCCTAAAATAATGAGACCAAGGAGCCCATTTTTCTCATAGAATTCCTTTGAAGAGATGGTATGAGGAAGACACAGCAGCAGGGTTCTGCCAGTCTCACTTGAGGATTGGGCAGGTCTTCAGAGAAACCAGGAGAACACAACAAAGTTGACAGGACGGTTAAACCCCTGAAACCTGGAAAATGTCTTCAGATTTAATGGTTTGCTTGAAATGGAGTGTTCCCACAGCACACATTTTAGTGGGAGGATCAGCCCAAGTTAGCAAGGAAAAGGCAAATCATAGAAGTGGGCATGAGATTGAATTCTGGAGACGAGCAGAGAGAGTATGCAACAGGTAAGTGGCCACCAGGGCTAGAGCGTTTCAAGCTAGAATTTCAAAGGACTGAAAAAATTCTGGTACATTGGATTTGGGGTCAGGAACAGAATGAGATCCCAGAGTTGTGCTGGTAACATGCTAAGGGAGAGGAAAAAATATGCAAATGCAAGGTAGAGAAAGAACTGATGACAAGGAGGTGGCACAGAAGAAAATTGCAGGGTGGGGTCGTTGTGAAATACAAGACCACCATGAATGAAGGAAAGGAAATACGAATTTGATGAAAAAAGCCTTAAATATTAGATCTAGTTGTAGGACAGACAGGAATGCTCACTGACCATGCTGGTGGCCTCAACTCTGACCAGACCTCACTGTGATCTAGAACCAGCTGAAAAGTTTGGAGGAGAGCCACGGAGATGAGGGTGTGATGGCAAAATGCCAAATGATCACTGGTAATTAACTCAGTAGGGAGAGTTTTCAGTTATTATTTCTCACTACCTAAATCATGGTCTTAAAATGGGAATTCTGGACAAGAAAGCAGGTAAGTGATGCTTCATATCATTGTTTCAACATACTGTCATTCCTGAAAAGCAAAATAATAATTTGGAGACCGGAAGAAGAGAAATAGTGAAAGGAAAAAGTTACGTCTGGAATATTAGGCCAGTTCATATTCCATATAACTAAAATCATCCCACCCCATGTACACATTTGATAGGTTGCGATATAGCTTCTTAAATAGGATGTCGACTGCTTTGACTTTGTATTAGTGAACAGACTCAGAATCCTTGAGACGTGTCATTTTTTTATCTTAGTTGTGAGTAAATAAATGTGTACCTGTCAGATGTGCATTAGCTCCTCCAGCCCATCAGTTCATCATCGAGGGAGACCTGGGGCTGTACAACCAGAAACTACTGTATCTCCCAACTGTGAATATTTTACTTCTCTTAACCCAGAGAATCTGAGAACTAAACCAATTTTCCCCACAATTTCTGTTGTCTTGTTAAATACCATTGAAGCAAGGGCTACTTGCTTTAAAGCCGTAGGGCTACTATGGCAACAGCCGGTACACGGTCCACTTTACTTAGTACCACGGACAGCGTAATTACCGTACCTTTCCTAAGTGGATTGCTGTTGGACATGGTTTAATATTAAGTGTCTCTAAGCAGAGAAACATCTTTTCCTGCATTTCATCATGAATTCTTTGTTAGGTGCTCTTATGTAAGTTTTTTGTTGCTATTTTTTAAAATATTTAAAGTTTTGGTTCTTGAACAATAGATTTTACTAACGGTGGGAATACACACGGCTGTGTCTCCTCTTCACTGCAAATTCTTTAGCCATTAAAGTAATCACTTCGCTCAGGGCTGCAATTAGGAGCGAGACAGTGGTCTATAGCACCATAATAAATGGAATAGATAGCTGGCCTTTTTTCTTTTTAAAAGTGTTTATTTTTAATTTATAACATGTTTGATAATAACAAAATGTTTTAAGTTGCAGGAAATCATGTATTATGTACACACTTATAGAACATCCAGATTTAACAAATGCTAACATTTTGTCATATTTTCTTCAAGAATTTGTCATAGAAATAAAAAATAAGTATAGCTAAAGGCCCACCCCACCACTTTCCCCAGAGTTACCCTTTATCTTGATATTGGTGTATATTCTGTTCTTAATTACTGCACACTTATAATTTCACTCCCTAGTTATGAGTACCTTGGATTCATTATCTATTGCTGTGTAACAACTTACCCCAAATTTAGCAGCACTTTGTGACCTTGGTGTTTGCTGAGGGTCAGGAAGTGAGGAGAGGCTTAGCTGGGTGATGCTGGTCCAGGTCACTTCTGAGGCTGCAGCCATCTCAAGGCTGGAGGGTCCATTTCCAAGCTCACTCATGTGGTTGTCGGCAGGAGCCCTCCGTTCCTTGCCATATGGACCCCACCACAGGCCTGCCTGAATGTCCTCAAGACAGGGTGCGTGGTCATCCCAGAGCAAGTGATCCCAGAGAGAGAGAGAGCAACAGAGCACCCAAGACAGAAGCCACAGTCTTTTTATAACCTAATCTTGGAAGTGACATACTATCACTCTGCCCTATTCTGTTGGTTGCACAGAGCAACCCTGGTACAAGAGTAAATAACAGGAAGCAGATCATTGGGAGTCATTTTAGAAGCCACCTGCCATATAAAGTACTTAAAACACAAGTTGGTTGGAGTTTTTTGGTATTTTTAATTTATAGGAATGCAGTGGTACAGGGTGTATCCTTTGTTCACTTGCTTTGATTGCTCAACATTACATTTTCTAGATTTTCCATATTGATAGGAATCCTGGGTCATTCATTCTGACTGCTGTGTAGTATCCCATTGTATGAATATACCCAGATATTTACCCAGTCCCTCTTTGATTAACGTTGTTTCTAATGTTTACAATTATAAACAGTACTGCAGTGAACATCTTTGTGCGTGTGAATGAGATATTCTGGAAATGGAATTTGTAGATGATTTGGTATGCCGGTCTTCAGTTATTGGCTACTGTCAGATTTGTCTTCAAAGTAGCTGGACCACCAGGATTATATAAAAATTTCCATTCCCTCAAAGTATTATCATATTTGTTTTGTCTTTTGCCTATTTGTGTGTGTTACATTGTAATTGGTTACTTCTGAGATGATGCAACTTTTCAAATGTTTATGGAAAGTTTGAGCTTTTTCTCTGATGGTGAATTTTTCTATTATCAGCTTGTGCACATTTTTCTACTTATCTTTTTTATTGATGTATATGAGTTCTTTACATAATTGATATATTAATTTTTCTGGATTATGTACACAGCAAATATCTTCTTCTAATCCCTCCGGCTTTTTTGCTTGCTTTTAGTGTCTTTTATGTGCATTTTATTTTAATTTAGTGAAATAAAATTTACCAGTGTCTTCCTTATGGCTTGTGTGTGTGTGTGTGTGTGTGTGTGTGTGTGTGTGAGAGAGAGGAAGATTAGCCCTGAGCTAACATCTGTTGCCAATCTTCCTCCTTTTGCTGAGAAAGATTGGCCCTGGGCTAACATCCATGCCCATCTTCCTCTACTTTATATGTGGGACACCTGCTATAACATAGCTTCATAAGCAGTGCATAGGTTCATGCCCAGGATCCAAACCTGTGAACCCCAGGCTGCCGAAGCGGAGTGAGCGAACTTAACCACTACGCCACCAGGCTGGCCCCCTTATGACTTTTTTTTCTGTACCTTATTTATGAAATTCTTCTTTAATCTGAGAAAATAGAGAATTTTTTTCTTTTAAAAATGCTATATACTTTTTTTCATTTTCTTCTAGAGTGTGAAGTAGGAATCTAATTTTTATACGGACATTCAATTTTCTCAGCATCATTTGTTGAATATATGTTTCCCCTCTGATTTTTACAATATTTTATTAAGAAAAATTTTAATATACAGAAGAGACTTAAAGAATACAATGATACTATGCATACTAACCATCTAGATTTAATAATTTTTAACATTTTGCCATATATCAGTATATGTGTATATTGTGTATATAGTTTTTGCTGAACCATTTGCAAATAAGTTGCAGATATCATAACATTTCACCCCTAAATATTTCATTGTGTATCTCTTAAAAATAAGGACATTCTCCTACATAATCATAACGCCATTATGATATCTAAAAAATTAACAATATTTACCTCATATCGTGTAATACCTACGCCATATTAAAATTTCCCCACTTGTCCCAAAAGTGTTTTCCTTAGCTTTCTTTTGACGACCACTTGTTTTGTAGAATGGATCATATTTAGATTTGCCTGAGTATTTCCTAATGGTATCATTTAACATGTTTATTTGATGTCATATTTCCTGTAAACTTGAACTTAGGTCTAGAGGCTTGATTAGATTCAGATTAAATATTTTTTGCAGATTAAGTATTTAATTCAGATTAAATATTATACCTACTGAATATTAATAACATCTTTGTCATATACCAAGACCCAACATATATGTGGGTTTATTTCTGAGCATTCTATTCTGTTCCATTGGCGTAGTTGTCTATCCCTGTGCTATAACATATGGTTTTAAATTACATAGTTATAATAAGACTTAATATCTGGCAGGGGCTTGACTCTTCTCCTTACCCTTTAAAATTCTCCTGGATACTTTTATCCTTATATTCAGCTTGTCAAGATCCCTAAAGAACCATATTCGGATTTTGATCAGAACTGCACTGAATTTATAGATTAACT